ACGTTGAAGAAGAAGTCTATATGAGCCTTCCTTCCGACCATTTTAAAGAAAATGAGAAATGTCTTGTATGCAAATTAAATAAGGCATTGTATGGACTTAAACAATCACCTCGCGCATGATATACTAAACTCAGCACAGCCTTGACGAGTGTCGGGTTTTTTAGAAATTTAGCTGATCCTTCGATGTTCACAAAAATGGGAACTTGAGGTACAATAGTTATACTCATTACTAGTAATGATAAGGAAAACATCATGAAACTTAAAAATTATATTCACAAGAAATTTGACATCAAGGATCTTGGTCCACTAAAGTATTTTCTCGGCATTGAAGTAGCACATTAAAAAATTACACTCTACATTTCTCAAAGGAAACATGTACTAGATCTATTGAAAGAAACTGAGAGTCAAACCCGTTGACGCCCATGTTGATATTAATTACAAACTTAATTTAACAAATGGAAAATGTCTTGAAGACGTGGGTCGCTTTCAGAGACTTGTAGGCAGATTGATTTATTTGACTGTGACACAATTGAATATAATGTATGCGCCTAGTCTTGTGAGCCAATTTATGCATGCGTCTTGATCATGTCATATGGAGGCTGTCGATAGGATTCTCAGATATTTTAAGTCGTCACCGGACAGAGGTGTTTGGTTAAAACTGAATGGGCACACTAATATTATTGGTTATTCTGATGTTGACTGGGCAGGTAATCCAAGTGATAGGAGGTCCACTACTGGCTATTGTACATTGGTTGAAGGAAACTTAGTTACTTGAAAAAGTAATAAACAAAATGTGGCATCAACTCCTTACGTTCAAAGTAAATTAATGTGACTAAATACCTACTTTGAGATATGAGATTCCCAACGGTCAATCCAATAGAGATATTTTGTGATAATCGAGTAGCTATGCATATAGCCTCCAATCTAGTTTTTCATGAAAGAACCATGCACATAGAAGTTGATTGTCACTTTGTGAGAGAAAATGTTCAGTAAAAAATTATTAGTACTCTTTATGTTTAAATTGAAAACCAATTTGCAAACATGTTTACCAAAGCTATGGCAAAGACAAAGTTCCATCAGATACTGTCCAAGTTAGGATTCATTGATACCTGCATACCAACTTGACGGGGAATGTTGACAGTTGTCAAATATTGAGGATATATATTAATTGACAGTTATCAAATATTAAGGATACATATTGACTTTATTGAGTTTCATATTTTGTGGGATTATAATTATAATGAGATTTGTTTCCTAAACGTTAAGAGTTATAACTATAAAAATCTTTGGTAAATTAGAGTAATCCATATGAATGAGATGCTGGTTTACCCTCCATGAACGTAGGCACCATTGTGGAACCACGTATATGTCTTGTTGTTCTTTTTCTATCTTCACTATTTCCTTTATTGCAAAATCTACATGCCTCATGCGCCGATGCACACGCTATGAGAAAAATGACCCTTTTTATAAAGCTCCAAGAAACTACCCATTTACTGTAGGAGTGATTATATGTAACTATTTCTTCAATGGTTAGAGGCCGTTAGATATCCCACATGAGCCATGCTCACAAAAAAATTTCTAGTCTTGAGCCCGTACATGTACTCGGGAGATGGGGTGCCGCGCACGAGCATGCGAAATGTAGAGTGCGCCATTAAACGACATTGTGCCTACGGACGCGCATCAGACGTTTCGTGTGCTCCACACAAGCACATCCATTCTCACCTTTGTGCTGAGAGTATGAGGCATGAGATGCCTACACTTGAATACCACTCAATTCACACTCTCCTCTTCATGTCGGACTAAAAACCCATTAATTTCTCTATACAAAATACAACTTAGGATAACCACAAAAAACTATATTATTATTTTGAAATCACACAAGTATTTTTCAAAACAAAAAATACTAACTCTAAGTGCTAGCAACCAAAAGTGGCTAGAAATGGTGTTTAGTTGTATAAAATTTAGGGCTTTAAAAGGCAGCAATAGAGGTGAACCAAGAACCATCAATTATGGAGTTTCCAGCTCTCTCTTGGACTTGGATGGCATGAACCAATATCTTTATGAAGCCATCGAAGAACTGGAATGCATGAACCCAGAGAGAGAGAGAGAGAGAGAGAGAGAGAGAGAGAGAGAGAGAGAGAGAGAGAGAGAGAGAGAGAGAGAGAGAGAGAGAGAGAGAGAGAGAGAGAGAG